CCAGGTGCGACTTGTTGGTAGTTCTCGGTCGTTTACCTGTATCTACAACTGTAATTAGACTCTTGAGGACCCTAAACCCTCCCATTTGAATTGGACATGCTCCTCATATGGGGGGTTTATTAATCAAGAGTCTACTGTAGCATTGATTCAAAAGGATTCAGAAGAGTGAGCCCATGAGGTTTGGTTTGTCGGAAGAAGTGACCTTCATGAAGCCACCACCTTGGACATGAACTGAGGCCCAAGTGGTGGCCCTCGACACCATGGACTGAGGGGTCAGATTCACGCTGACAGCCCCAGCCCTTTAAGCTTTAGATGCTTGTTGCAGGAGGCATTGCCTGGCATTGCCCAATCTTCCCCGGGGCATCTCCCCATGTGCAAGCGTCCTTGGTCAACCGGTCAGGCTGCATTGACTGTGACCGCGGCCCATTCTAGAAATTCCAGGGATATGTCAAAGAGTGTTCCAGCTTAGATGCTCGAGGATTTAATGTGATGGGAAATGGAATTCTGACCGTGATGGCCAATACTTGTGAAACATAGTGAAGCCATCCAAAGGTTTGATGGTTTTCGGAGCCGAGGGCACGCAGTGACATGCAGGTCTTGCTATGCCTGCTATGCCATCGATGCCGTCTTTGGAAAAGTTTGTGCGATCTGCTCCTCTGGGGAATGCTTTCAGTTCTTTTTCTCTCCAGCCAGGGCCAGTCCAGGGCCAATGGCTTCATACTCTAGGGGTGCGTGTGCTTGCGCTACAATCATTGGTGCAACATCTTCATCCGCCTCGTGTGCTGCTCAGTCATCCGTCCCAGCTGTCACGACCAGCTGTCTTCGGAGTTCATTTCGAAAGAGGAATGGGACATCGTAGGACGTCGTGTTGGGATGTGTGAGGTCTTGTTGCATTTCCCTAGGGATCCAAGTACATTCTCAGAAGGTACTTGGACCCTCCAAACCTACATAACAGTGCCTCCAATCATCTTCTGAGAAGGTGCTTGGATCCCTAGGGTTTGGGTTTTGTTTGGTTTTGTTGCCCTGGAAACAACACCCCAACACCGTTGGGTCCCGTTTGTGATTTGACGCGTGGGACGTCGACACGGTGTGCCGACCCCACCTGTGTCATGTGTTCAGGCTGCCTTGGGTCATCACCCAGACCTGAGAGCCAGACCCTTGGAGACTCAGGGGGAGGTTCATGTATCGCAGGGTCGGTCCAGGGACCAAGTCACTTAAGAAAGTGCTTTATGGGTCCACACCGTTGTGGTTGGTCAAGGCAACCGAGTCGTTGAAAAGACGCCACAGGTGGGTATTAAACTCAAAAACTGCGTAATTATGAATAGTTGGGCAGCGGCATGACAGGAGGATGCAGGAGGTGAATGAAGCAGTTTTGCAAACATTCTGGCGTGGCCCCTTGGATGACCTTGTTCCTCCACAAACAGGTGGTTTTCCACGTCCATGATGATTCAGGGAGTGTAGAATTGCTTCTTTCTTGCAGGGTGTGCAATACGTCCTACCTATGGCGACCCATTCCCGGAAGTCACAGCTTAGAGCTGCGGCTCAGCATCGCTTGCTTTTCTTCGCTCAGGCGACCAAGGACGAACCGCCAATGTCGGGAAGCTTGAAGGACCCAAGAAATTCAATGCCACAACTTGCGTTCGATTCCTGTGTCCCATTCTTTGCTGATTGGATCCGATAAGACTATATATAAGAACGATGCCATCGATGACTATTTGCGGAATCGGGATCTGACAATGTCATTGGATGTTTCCACTTTGTCCACACCTCAAGAATCATGGAGAGGGCTTCCGCCGCCAAACAGATGGATCCAAAAACAACAAGCGAAACAAAGGCTAAGAGCAGATGGCACAAACAAGCGCGCTCAATTGTTGCACAAAGGCACCTCGATCAAGTTTGGGTTATCTACACAAGGGTAAATATGACCGTATGTATGACCTGTTCGTTTCTTTAGAAAAGCTTTCTGGCAGTGCGCGGTGGGTATAAGAAGAATAGCCAAGTTTGGGCAAATGTCAGGGACGAAATGAGTCCTACAGGTCCCATGTGTTGCTGTGCCACACTTCACTGGCCATGTGTACTTGGCCTCATGATGCTTCGGATTTCAATCGAAATGGTTTTCACTGGCATTGCCATGGGCCAATTCCGGCAGTTTTGGCTGGTTCGACCCTGCAGGTGTTTCAGCATTGCAGATGACGAGCATCCTCAGTGGCAACCCTAAGTGGAAAGTCCTAATCTGGTGCCCAGAGCCCTTGGTGTGAGGCCTTTTTCTGTGGCACCATGCGGCAAATCGCAGTCATGATCACTATTTTGGAATGATCACTCTGCAAATCATGGCAAAGCAAGCTCTCCTTGAAGAATGATTGCATCCCCAAGTCCATCACTCTCGCAGTGATAGTGGACTCACCCTTCAGAAGCGGCCATTGACGCTATCCTACTCGATTCGTGAGGTGTAAGCCCATACGGTCGCCCCAGTTCCAGGCGATTGAAGAGGAGTTTTGTGTGCGAGGCTTGCTTTCATGAGAATTGAAGAGAAGTAGCCTGTAGCCTGTCAGACCAAGAGGGCACGGAAACTTTTAAAATCGATTATGTACACTTATACTCATAGTTGTTAGCTCTAGCCGTGATTGGCGAACAGCTACAAATATAGAGCACGGGAGTTTTCCAAGCCAGTCCTTTGTTTGGCATTCACGGCCGCCCCTGCATGCCGTATTCCAGTCTTGAGCCTCACAGGACCCCAAGCCAAGGGATGTCCTGGAAGAGAACGAGGCGATACTCGATTTGGTCACGAGACGGATGGATGTCTAGTTGGATGCTTCACTAGTGGTGAGACCAAAATCGGCAGCTTCACTTGTGGCTCACTTGGCTGAGTTCAGCGATTCGCGTGGCTGGTCACGACAGAGTGGATCTTCTCATCCCTTCCAGGCCTTACGCTTGGCGCTGGGTGAATGTTGGCAACGGCTGCAAGAGCTCGAGGTTCGTGTGGTCCAACGCGAAAAAACAACTACTTCAAGAAAGAGACGGAAAACGCGCTGTCGGCGAGTCGGCACACCCGTTTTTGTCCATCAATCGATGGTTAGTCGGCAACTCTTTTTTTCCGCGGGTGAAGATTTGACATATTTGATCCGCAAAAGGATCCATGTTTGTTTGGGAAACACCTTGTCATCTCACATCCTCTCTTCACCGCACCAACCAGCTTGAGATCTGTGCCATGCGTTTCGAGTGCGCGACACCAGCTTGTGTGCTCCGTGCTCCAGGCAGAGCGGGCGGATTTCAACTCCGAAGGTGTGTTCGATTTGGTCAACTCCTTGCAGCCTGGCAGGATGATGGTCAGAAACTGGCTTTCGGAAAGACGTCCGAGTGAACTCTCCGAGGGAGACAGGTCGGCGACGTCTCGAAAAAGGACTTCGGCTGTGCACGTCAAGATCCCCAGAGCTCTGTGGAGCTCCAAACGCTGATAGGTTGGGCATGTTTGAGTGATCTCCGTTCACCTTCCGTGGCCGTTCCCACTCCTTTGTTAGATGGGTGGCGAAACGCGGTAGCCCTCCTGAGCCAAGGTGCCATGGGGTCAAAGCAGGCAGGTTTCGCCATGTTGCAGGCGAGTTTCGGAAGCTTCAAGAAGTACCAGGTGAATGGATGGATATGGATGGATATGGATGGTCGCAGTTTCTTAGGGACTGTTTTATACAGTGGTTTCAGAGTAGAGGGCAAAATCCAACATGCAGTTGGACATGGATGTTTCATCGTTGTTCTACCCCGTTTCTTCGTTCGGTGCCCACTTCTTGTTTCGTAGGTGAAGGCCCAGAGCTCTCCAGCTGTGAACATGAGCCTTGAGTCTTGAGTGTTGAAGATTGAATTCCAATTGTTTCTATTTGCGCCGATTTTCTCGTTTCTTGGCAGATAGCTCAGAATACGCTGAGCTGTCGGCACTTTGAATTCACATAATGTTTCCTGCGGTGATTAGGAAGAGCAAGAAGTTTGCTCAGAAACACTGCAGAATGCTTGCTTTAACAGCACTTGCAGGGAATTCAGGTGCGCTGATGTAAGTCCATGACCTTGTAAACATGCAAGTTTGAGGTGGTGCAACTGGCAAACGATACATTCCGACTCTGAGAATGAATCCCCACACATGACCGCTTGTTTAATTGATTTTGATTGTGTAGACACAGGGCTGGAAATTGAAGAGCCAGCCAATGTCATTTACTGAGGGGCTGCAGGTTTGGTTTGAACATTGGGACATGGCCACCCTGAGCCAACATCGTGAAACACTTGGTTCTTCAGAGGAAGAACTCAATGACAAACTACATCTAAAGTACTTTTCTTTGACCTGCATTGGCGCCGGACAATGAAGTGGCTGATTTGCATCGCCAGACGGCCAGAGACGGCCAGTCGGAGATCGCGCTACAAGGCAGCGGTTGGATGTGCTTCTACGCGCCGGTGGGTGTCACACGCCGCCGGAACGAACGCCGGGCCAGCCGCCCCGCTGCGACTCTGCGCAGCGTTTGGCTCACAGCAATCAAAATACAAGTAGCGTCATGGAGGCAATGGATTGTTGGGCCAATGGCATGGGCAGAAAGAACAACATATGAATGCTTATAGACGCAAAACGATGCGCGCACACAGATCACAGGCCCTTAAAATAGATTGATACTCATGCAGCTGAGAAACCGTTGCGATGAAGTTGGATGTAAAACAAGTGTAAACTTCATGTGTGGTCATGAGGCCGATCGGGGAAAAGGAGTGCAGCTAGATCCATGCGGTGGGATTTGCAGATCGATGCTGGGATGCTTGCGAGTCAGCAAGTCTTCCAGGGTTCATTTGCTAGTGACAAATAACAATTGGTTGGCACATGTTGACACATCAATTCTTCAGCAACATTATGTTGTTTGGTGTCCTTTATTTCAGACATACGAAACCTCACAGGTATTCACGGTTATATGCCGTATAGCATTGCTGTTTGTCAATGCTATGCATTGGCATCAGATCCCTGTTGGAGGCAGCGGCTGACGATCGCGTGGAATCAGATGATTCTGATGGCTGGACTCCTGGAACATAATGAATTCTAAATGAAAACAATTGAATGAATCACTGAATTACTGTAAATAGAAGACCTTCTTGCTACTTTGGGTTGCCCTTTGCAGCTCATGGCTTGATGCACTTCTCAACTGGTGCACGCGATGGTTATACGGATCTCGCGGCCGGTCCCCGTGGCACCTGCGCTCTGCGCTTGGCGCGGCAAAGCGCTGCGCGGAGGTCGGACAGGCGACGAGGAGATGGACGAGGAGGGCGGTGAATCTGAAGATGACAGTGAAGCCAGTCGGGATTCTCGAGATGGTCAGGTCAGAGTCGAAGCTTCTCACTGCAGCCCCTGGGTCAATGGGCGTTTTTGACGATAGAACCTTCCGAGGAATAGGAACATGTGTTTCGT